GACCGTGCTTTGGGTGGACACGGCCGTGCTTTGTCTCGGCCCTGCCCGTGTAATCAGCTCATGTCTGCCAAACTCGAATTTGCTCTCGGCAGTAAAAGCACGGCCACAGAACACGGCCGTGTTCTGTTTTAGGTGTGCCCGTGTTTTGGCTCCAGCTCGACGAAATGACTTCTGAATGCCCCGAAACTCGTGCTTAGCCTTTCCTTTGACGCCTGGGACCTGGAATATGACAAAATAGCATAACCCGGCATAAAATAGGCCAAGAATACACGACTATGCCCCTCAAACGGATAAGAACTAGTGTTATAAAATCATGCAATTACATCGTTATCAAACTCCCCCACATTTAACCGTTTGCTTGTCCCCAAGCAAACCTAACTCAAACCAATGCAACTCTCCAGACCTCTATAGCAACAAACAACCTCGATCGTAGGTAGCGGACTTCCTAGAATATTTAGCAGCTTACGAGGTCAACCGACGCACAAGTCATCTCATAGCCTCTTCGGCGAGAACGCTAGTCTCGAGTCGGCATCATGGCAAATAGTGAACAGAGGACAAATGAATCGTGGATGAAGAGACTCTCAAAAACAAAAGATCATGGACTCACATTTTTCAAGGTGCTCGATTTTCTTCTTGAAGATGGCTGGAACCCCTTTTCTTCCTTCTTCTTGCTTGGTTTTCTGTTTTTCTCTTTTTTTTTCTTTTTTCAAGGGTTCCAACCTGTTTTTGTAGAAAATGGGGGCTCCCACCTAGCAAAGGTTTTGCGGGAGCCCGGCTCTTACCGGCCATGCCAGGAGCAGTTGTCTCGAGCCTCGTGCGGGGGAAAGACATGTAAGGGGGCTGGAGGTAGTAGGTGGAAATTGGGAACGGATTCCCGTCTCCCCTTACACACTTTCGCCCTATTCGCACGGGAGACGTCATTTTAAAGCACATTTTTGAGCACCTGTTATTTTCAAAACAAGATATGATAGACCGTCATTTACACATGTTTTTACCCCCGTTCTTGCACCGTTTGAGGTGTTGATTTTCGTGTTTTAGGCCGATTTCACGCTAGGTTGTGCTTGTTTGTGATATTTCAGGTCCTAGTACGTGAATGAAGGCTTAGGAGCGAGTCTGGGGTCGATTGGACGAAGAACGGACGAATGGCGAGGTTTTTGGGGAGCTGCACGGGCAGACCAGGGCGACGCACGGCCGTGCACGTGAGCAAGATGGCCGTGCGCTTTATGCCGAGGCCTCGCACGGGCAACCCCTGAAGATCGCATGGCCGTGCACCCTGGCCGTGCGAGAAGCCTGAGGTCAAACTAATTGATACGCCGCGTTTTGGAGTGCACGGCCAAGTGGGTGATCTACACGGCCGTGCACCCTGGCCGTGCGAGTCGGGAAATCCTGGTTTTAGAGCCTATTCCGAGCCAAAAGTGGCAGATTCGAGTTTTGGAGAGACAGAGCGATTCCTAGATAGAGAAAGCGACGAACAAGAGTCTCCAAGTAACCTAGATCGATCTTCAACACCATTGGAGCTTGGTTTGAGCTTGGAGAAGTGCCGATTCAACGTCCAGGAGCAGAAATCCATCTTCACAGTATGATTTCCGCGTCTGATTCTACTTTTGCTTCTTTCTCCATGGAGTAGTTCTCCCATTCATCTGGGTGTGGGAAACCCTAGTTCTGTATGTTGGGATTGATTGTATGAACCCAAGTACTGTTTCTATGAATTGATTATATTCGATTGAGGTTTGAATGATTGAATGGCATGAATCCTGATCAAATTCCTGTTGTTTCTGCTTTAACCTAGAATGAGAATATCTGCCTAGGTTAATAGAGTATCCTTAATTGAAGGTAGTGAATTGGTGACTTTAGTCGAGGAGCCAATTCACTATTCTGTACCGAATTCAATTCGGTAGTGGAGGTTTTGTTCATAGGGCCTCAATCTGTTTACTCCGGTGGAGGTTAGTCGCCCGCTAGAGACTCAAATTGAGAGGGTCTGAAGACCTTTAGTCGAGACTTCGGGCTGATTGAGAACCTTCCGTAGTATAACTATCATAGAAATTGAACATGGTAATTACAATCCGGCTTAACTGCAGACTAGGGGGAACCATATCCGGGTGACCTCTCTTAACCTGAAAACAACCGTTTAGTTGCTTTGCTTGCTTGTTAGTTTAGACCTTCACTAAAGTTTCATCGCTAGATAATACGAATTCACTGAGTAGTCATCACATCTAGGACCCGGGTTGACATTGAAACCCAAACCCGCTATACTACGCTTTAGGAAGTGGTTACACTTGGCCATTTTCTAGAGTGACAGTAGGAGTGAGTCGAGTTTTTGGCGCCGTTGCCGGGGACGGCTAGGTTGTTGAAGAAAAGTGATTTCTGTTACTCTAGCATTTTCGTTTTCGCATTGAGTGTTTCTTCTTTCCCACTTGTGGCTTCACGGGTTTGCATTGCTTGATTGTGTGCAGATAGTGCATGACCCGTAGCCAGTCGGAAGGTTTACTGCTGTTGGATCCAGAGATTGAACGCACCTGCAACCAACTTCGGCGACAACAGCGAACTAGATTGGCTACGGTGGAGTATAGTGACGGCCAATTGAGCAGCGAATCCGAGGACGAGCGCGAGATGGACGGCGAAGACATCCCACAACCGGGGAATGCCCGACAGGCTCCCCCGGTGAATCAGCATCCACCACCACCGCCGGGTCCCACCTTGGAGTACTACTACACTCCACGGATTGCTGACATCCGCCCAGTCATCCTCTATCCACCCATCCCAGCAAACAACCTCGAGATCAAGCCATGCTGGATTCAACTCATCACATCATCTATCCAGTTCCATGGTTTGAAGGATGAGGAAGCCCGGGCACACCTTTCCCGTTTTCTGCAGCTGACGAACGGGTTCAAGCTGAATGGTGTTCCGGTGGTGCAATCTGCCTTCACCTCTTCCCCCATTCTCTGGCGGGGAATGCTAAGAGGTGGTTGGAGACCCAGCCTCCTTTGTCCATCACGTCTTGGGACGATCTGGCGGATAAGTTCGTGCACAGATATTATCCGGCATCGAAGACTACTGAGATTCAGCGGGAGATCACTCACTTCCGCCAAGAGCCAGATGAGTCCCTTCGTGATGCATGGGAGCGGTACATGGGATACTTCTGGCAGTGTCCCCATCATGGCTTCAGCGATGCTTTCACAGTAGGGAACTTCTACAGTGCCCTAACCCCCGACAGCCAGAGGGTGATCGAGTCTCTATGCCCAGGAGGTGATATTCTCACTAAGACTCCACCTGAGCTGAACCAGATGATCAGTACTTTGGCTGCCCGCGATCATTCCTGGGGGCAGAGCAGCAGAGGCAAGCATTCCCGGGACCGTGGTGTGCATGCCATGGAGGCCAGATCCGGGTTAGAGCAGCAGGTGGCTGAGTTGGTGCAGACATTGAAGCAGCCCAACAGTCTCCTACCGGGCCACGGTGTAGCTCCGCCTCCAGTCGCTCAATGTCAGTGGTGTGAGAGCCCGAACCACCTAGTGGAAGATTGTCAGTCTATGAGGGAGTCCTCTACTCCCCAAGAGCAGGTGGACTTCATCGCCAATGCTCGGCGCCTGGACCCATACAGCAGTACCTACAATGAGGGATGGCGCCAGCATCCCAACTTTGCCTGGAGCAGCAACACCAACAAACCACCTGGTTTTCCAGCACCAGCAGGCGGTTTTCAGCAGAGGCAGCCCTTCCAGGCTAGGCAGGGGCCACCACCACAGCAGCAGCCTTACCAGCCTAGGCAAGGGCAGCCATTCCAGCAGCCTCAGCGTCAGTATGCCGAGCCAGCAGCAACGCCAGCTCCCGATAATCAGATGACCGAGCTGAAGAACATTTTGGCAGCATTCATGACCACCAGCCACTCAAGTTTCACGAGGATGGATCAGACCATAGCTTCACTGGAGGCAGGCTAGAGAACCCTGGAGGCAGGCCAGAGAAACCAAGGTGCCATTCTGTAGGATCTCCAGCACCAGATAGGGAGCTTAGCTCGCCAGAACACTACCAGGGCACCGGGGACTCTGCCTGCCACCACTGTCCCCAATCCTCGCGACCCCCAAGAGACCGCCCATGTCATCACCACCAGGAGTGGTAAGACCATATCTGCTGCTCCTGCCCAGCCCAGGCGAGACGAACCACTACCTGCTTCAACACCTCCAGCTGATACTGCAGAAGTGGAGGAAGGCAGCACAACACCTGCTCCAAAGCCGTAACCTGTGGTTAAGGAGCATACACCCCAGCTGCCCTTCCCCACTCGACTTCATAAAGACAAGCTGGAGACAGAGTTTGCCAAGTTCATGGCAATGTTGAAGCAGGTCAACATCAGCATGCCGTTCGTGGAGGCACTGTCGAAGATGCCCAAGTATGCCAAGTTCATGAAAGAGCTCCTCACCAACAAGAAGAAACTTGGGGATCTTTCGACAGTGATGCTAAGCGAGGAGTGTTCTGCTATCCTGCAGAACAAGCTGCCAGAGAAGCGCAAAGACCCAGGGAGTTTCACTATCCCTCTTGTTATTGGCAGCATGCATGTAGGAAAGTCCTTGGCGGACCTAGGCGCTAGCATTAACGTCATGCCCTATAAACTGTTTAAGAAGCTAGACCTAGGTGAACCTAGAGCTACTAGGATGAGCATTCAGTTAGCTGATCGTTCTATCGTGCATCCTAGGGGTATCATTGAGGACTTGCTTGTTAATGTTGGTGCATTCACATATCCTGTTGATTTTGTTATTTTGGATATAAATGAGGATGTGGATGTGCCTTTGATTTGGGT